TCCCGGTCTGCCAGATTGTCCGAACGTTCCATGTAGCTCTAAATCTGGAAGAGCTACAGACAGAGTTATGTTTAAATTGTGCCCGAGAGAAGGTAATCAGGTACATCATGTAAGGCGATATTACCGTCACCAGTACTTGCATAAGATATCCTTCCTGTACAGTATTCAGCACTAACACTTGAATGTTTACCATCATTGCTAATAATTCCGCCTAAAAACTATCCATATTAAGTACTAGCTATACCAGGTTGTAGTTGTTGTTATACAACAATAAACCTCCATACAGAGGTTTCCTTTTGTGCCAAAAACATTCAGCGGGTAACTGATTAGTTTGCTTGTCACACCGTCCAAATTTGCTGAAATGTCCTCCAAAAGCTTGAGAGCCTAACAACAACCTATATGCGGTTTTAATCGGGTACAAAGGAAAGTGGTCACCTTTATTTCTTTATTACATTAGAAAGTCAGTCATTTTTGTGTTTGGTACCCTCAGTGTCAACATAATAGTCTAGGCTTCTCATAAAGTTTCTATTGTTTACGGAGACAATTTTCTTCTTCGGCATCTCTAATGTCACTGAAAAGAAACTTTTCGCGTATGTTTTTTGATATGCATGGAAATTTTCCATGGATTCACTTCATGAAGTAAGGAACCTATATTTCTCTGAATATCTAATGCTTCTGTCATCCTTTGGACTGACGTATACTGTGTCCATATATTTTAAGTTTTCGCAGTTTTCATAACTCTACAATGCTTAAGATTTCTGAAATCGACTACCATTTTGACACTGATGAGTTTTTACCGGGTTTCGTTCTTGCTTTACTTGACATTTTAATTTGTAGTGGCTGGCGTAGTGGGTGAATGTATTTTTGATTGGTCCTGTTGCTTCAACTAACTAGACCTACGCTTAGTGGGTTGGTTGTCTGATTTTCAGAATGCTAAGAAAATTTGCTGTCTTGGATAGTTAAATGCTCAGCTTGCAGCTATTTGGAGATGCCAGAATTCTTTTACTGACTGTCAGTCAACTACTGAATATTCCTAATTTTCCAGTTCTTTGCTCATCTATACTATGCAAAATTTATGCGCTTTCAAATCCAAACGTACTTGAAGATGAAAGAGTTGCTGAGACATTCTTCGGTTCGGGTCTATTGGCTTTATGGTGGATTAGAAATTTTCAGTCACTAGGTCAATACCAGAATTACTGTCACTGAGGGAATCTTAAACATTTAACTGACTGTTTATTATTTCCTTTGATATCGTTGTTTCCGTTGGGTTTTAGATATACGTTTTTATCTGAATTTTGACTCGTTTTTTATAATTTCGACCCTAGACACTTTTGGCTTTGCACCGCTTTGGCCTGATATTTGAGAAATTTTAATCTGGAAACCTAAAATTCAAATGTTTATTATGAAGTTTGCCACAATTATTATGGGAATAATATATTAAAGCTGACTACTTGAAATTTATAGATAAATTTCTCATATCTAAGTTGGAACGTAAACAAATGGTAAAGTACTACCTTTCTCTTCCATCACTGAGATCAAGAACTAGTGCAGTCAACCAGGGGAGTGTAATAGGTTCACTCGTTTTTCTTATGTATATAAACCATAAATATAATATCACAAGATTTGGGAAACCATACTTATACGTTGATGATTTCAAAATAGTATGCAGCTTTAAGCCTGAGGCTCTAAGTGAAGGTGTATCTCAGATCCAAAGCGACCTCAATAATCAGAATCTTATAACACATACCATTAGTTATCTTCATAGTAGTGTGATACAATACAGAAGCTTGAGCCATCTGATTTGTTTGCAATATGGAACTAGTAGAGACAGTGTATTCTAAAAGGGGGAAAAGGTGAAAGCAATAATAATTTTTATCACAAACGTAAGAGAGCCTAACATCACAAAAGGAGTGGGTGACGTTACTGACCAGCAAAAATGATGGTGGAGAGATAACTTCAATACACCAATGTCTGTAGAGCAAAATATTTCGTTTAATTACGGCTCCTCACGGTTCGGTGGAATGGTATTGATGCTAATTTATTATGCTAAATTCCTCCTTAAATCGTGTTTTTAACACTGAATTGGTCTCACTTCCTACTGAGTAATCCCATCACAAGCTGAGCTAGACAATTCGCTAAAAACGAAGCCTGCTCACGATTTTATAAAATCTATAAAAATAAAAAATGAGCTGAAATGGATTCGACAAAAAAGGAGACAGCCATTTGTGTCAGAATACTGTTTTCAGTACTATATTTTAAAACTACACATAATCCTATACTTTCAGTTATTTTTTCCCGCCTCCATTCATACAGTACTTCATCCACTCATACATTATTCGAACATATTATTTTAACCTATTAGAATGTGCTATATCCTGCTGGCCTTGTCTAACTCTGAAAATAAACTTCAGCTAGAACAAAATTATGTTTCATGTGATATCAATCGAGAAATCTGTGTGGACTCATATCCAGAAAATAACTATAGCAATACGATGAGCTCAGTTGTTTCGATAGTTGAGATCATGATTCAATTGAAGCTAGACCACAATAGAACAATGGGACTCCTCAGCATTGCACATCTACAAAACCCCTTCTGATACTAATCAACTTATGCTCACTAGTGACTGGCTTCAAGAGGTATTTCCTGGAGTTCTAGTGAGAAGCACTGACTAGTGGAGTTCAGCCGGGTCTGTAGTGAGATAGTACCTCACTGATGACAATGGTGGGTGTGTCGCTCATCTTGGTGGGTTAGTTGAAGCTAGACATTAACACCATGCCGGCCCAGTGATCTAATGGTTTAGCGCATGGAGCGAGACTGATAGGTACCAGGTCCGAATCCCGCGAGGCGAGGTCGTGGATGCGCACTGCTGAGGAGTCATTAAATAGGACGAAACGACCGTCCAGTGCTTCCAGGTTTTCCATGGTGGTCTAGCTTCGATTGATTCATGATCTTAACTATTGAAGTTACTACAATCTCAACGTAACCCATTCTGATACGAACCCAGTTGTGCCAGATGATACTCAGAATCATTGGGAGACAGGAATTTATATTGAACCAACTTATCTGATTTCTCATGACAATGTACCAGATATGGGTTCTCATGATAATGCACATAGGTTTGGTGAAATTTCTTATAAAAATGAGAAAGATATATCGGCTGAACCAAGTTATGACCGAAAATCTAAACCAATTTTGCTAGATGTTGATTTTTCTAGCGATCTAGTATCCACTAACGAGATCGGTAATTAATTTAAAGAAAGCGTTTCAGAAGAATCAAATCCTGGTTACCCCAAATCAAATGACTATCTAGCCATTTCTACTGGCTTCTCCATGCAATGCGAGAAACGAGAATTAAATAAAGTCATATTAATTGCAACTTGAAGATGTGAGGACTCGACATTATTTCGTGGAGGAGGATAATGTCGGGAAATTTAAAGTTGCCCATAATTTTGAAAATTCTGATCTCCGAAAAAGGGGAGGCGTCATATCTTAGCGAAGATTAAATTACGAGTAACTTCTGAAATCTATTAATGGACTAATATTCTCTATATATTCTTATGGTATAATTATTCGGGGTTTAGATTGTGTATATTTATATTCTTATTATGAGCTTCATTTTGACCTATAGACTATTATGATAAGATTTACTGTTCACAAGTTATGTTCGGTTTATTAGTTACAGTCTCCCACGTTCACAGCCACATTTTGGCTTTATTGTGTATAAATGTTATCCCCTATTTTACGGTGCGTTGCGGTCTGTTTGGTTGATATATAAACCCAGAATGTCTGAAATAAATTATCCGCATAGTGGAGGCTGTTATTGGCATTCTGGACTCAAGTGGACGGACTGGACGAGCAACGGACCAATAGGACGCTAGGCAGATCAGACCGAACGAACGTCATTGTTTTAGTACAGTACAAGGGCGAATAAGTCGTATTTTGATTTGCGAATGAATTACGGGACAACTAGCGGGCCATAAAGACACAACAGAATGCTCCTGCTTAAACCGTATCTTAATAAAAGAGAGACAGACTAAATAGTCACACCCTAACTATCCATCCATAAATGACTCAACTTCAATATCGACGAACATTGTCTGCTCTCATTCTCGTCCTTTCTTTTTTTACCCTGCTTCTCAGCCCCCTCGAGATATGTCACCGAAAACACATATGAAACGGGTGACTTCGTCCTGCGCCACCAATAATGTCTCAGGTGTTCCAGAGGAATATAAGGTTGTGGTCCGAAGAAGCTCTCGACTTTACGTGAATTTATTCTCGACCATCGGTTGCACGTCGCAACGCAATACCTATAAAGGGCGCCAAATGTCGCATTTACTATATGAGTCTTACTAATGTTGTTTATGTTCGTGTGTGAGGAGAGTTGTTTCCCATAATTCTATGAACAATGTAACCTATAAAACATCAACCACAGTGAAGACTGTACCCTCCATAACAATTTGATCTTGCCTGTAAACTAGCAGGTCTCATACAACAGACTGTTATTTGGGAATAAGTTATTATTATCTAATTTGTTGAGGTATGTGCGTTTCCTGGCGATAATAACCACCATGGATTTGTTTCCACACAGCATATATTAAAAAACTGCGCGATGCACTGTGATCTTCGTGCTATGTAAACATGTCAAGTACCACAAAGAGCGAAGTTCTGCTCGAGGAGTTCACCAATGACTACCACTCATTGCACATGCTTATCAAACCTTAAACAATGAAAATCATCCGTTCATGATGTGATGCACTTAGAGATGTGTGCACACAAGTGATGCTTACTAAAGATATCACAAATATTCGGATTTTGGCAACACTTTTGCTCATGACACGTAATAAACCGATCACTATCAACCCAGTCACAACAGGAGTTAGAGGCGTTTAATTTTTGTAATTAACGGATGCTATGATAGATGATACATCTCCATTAAAGTTGACTTCAGGGTTCATTGCTATAGAAGCGATATTAACCAGTGCCCAATCAATAACCGTTGGCCGCGCTGGGTTTAGCAAAACAAGTAATGAGAAATCCTAGTATGACTCAATCTGCTGATAATCACTGGATGGCTGGTCGCAAAACGCCAGCCAGTAAGTTAGTGACATGTCATATTTGTAAACGGTCACTACCTAATAGATAATTAATGAAATTTTTCCAGGCACTTAGACCAAACTGGGTAAAGTGAAGTTTGAATACGAAACCTAATAGTTTAAATTTAAGTGTCCTAATCACTAATCTATTGCTCTTCAGGATACATTGTTATCTTACTTGGTATTCGTTGGTAGGTGTTTCCGGTAACACGAATCTAAGGCCTATCACATTTATCACAAGAGCTATCAATTTATAACGGTTACATACTACGAAGCAAACACTCAGTTTTGACTAGGATTTTTCTGTTTTTCGCTTAGGAATCTTTCAGTCTCCGTAAATTAATATGCAACCGAATATCCACCGACTCGATGTTTTCATCTATCACTTGTTTAATATTAGTGAAAACCATATAAGTTCAAAGAATAAACTTACTCATGAGAATGAACATTTGAGTTTGTTTGCTCTGAGCTATTTTCCAAACTATCATTTAATCCATGAATACAACCTTTATCTTGACGATAAGATAGCCAACGTTGAGGGTTAGATGACGCAAATAATTCTCTGTTAATTGTTGAGTTGCTTTTAGGAACTAATTTTCCACGGATAATAGGTGTTGCAGGAGCGAATACATCGTTATTGTTATCATTGAAAAGTGAAAATGTTGAAGAGAGCGTACAGCCGGTCTGACTGACATCTTGCAAAACATTTGCTAGAGTACTACCTTCAATATTACTGTTGTCTAAGCAATCCCCATTACTGGTAGTTTCTTTTAATGGATGATCAATGTTCAGTGATGAACAATTAGACAGATAATCTTCTAAAGCTAGCAAACCATCTTCAGAGCTTAAGTCAATGTAATCATCCAAAAATTCCCAATATTCATACCAACTTGTCCCGAAAACACGTGATAAATACCTGGAGTAAAAAGTGTATTTACTAAGAATTTTTGGATACATAGGATATGTACATCAAAAAACACGTCTATTTAATAGGCTTTAAATTGCACTTTTCACGTGTAGGCTGATTCCACTACTCGACTTCACAAAGTTAAGCATGTCGAGAGTCGAATGCTTTTCAAAGTACTCCTATTGAGAATCGTATGTGTCGAGTTGTTTGGTGGTTTAAAGTATACGAGGTCACTACAGTCGTCTATAATTCCTAAAATAAACCATTGCCAGAACTAGAAGTCAGATTAATATCCATTCAGACGTATAAACAAAGTTGGTTTCTTTTATAAGGCGTTCTATGAGTTCTCATAAACAAACCAACTTACCGTCCTTGGCGTTCATATCCTTTTTCCGAATCAATTAGACGAAGATGTGAAAAAGATTTGTAGTCAACAGCATTTGGTGCATTGTATTGAAGCCATTTTTTTCGAAATTCAACAGCCTATAACAACATGAAAATTGGGACGGATTAGGCATCATATATAGTTTCCTATTTTGGGAAGTTTTACAAGTTGATGTTAAACATTTAACAAATAATTAGATGAAATTCGACTCGTATAGACTAAATCACTTTTTTAGGTCGCATTACTTCCATCAAAAAGACTAGGTTGAATGACATGTAACAAAGTGATTAGTTCCGGCCCTTATGCTTGAATTCGAGTCACATAAATCCATTCACAACTAGAAGTATCAGTTAAGGGCTCTGACATCAGTTCGGTTAAAATTGGATCTGTGGTTAAAAAGTTGGTAATCTGACTGCAGAACTGGGTTGACCAGGTTTGGATCTGATGGGAAGTATTAGTTTCTTCAGGTTGGCAGATACACCCTACCGATGAAAACCAAGCACTTGTTCTAGGTCCACGGATTGTTGCTGACTGTCGTTAGCTATTTAAAACAAAACGAATTACAGCACTACGCGGATTTAACATAATCGATGAAATATGACACCGTTATATTGTTCTATTTGTGTGTTTTGATTAGTTGGGGTAAAAAACGCATGAGAATCAAATGAATGTTTGTAAATCGAGAAGCATTTTCATGAATTAGATTAAATCTCAAATAACTCTTACGACTAAGAAATATCAACTAATAGAATATGAATAAGGGCTCTCTACATTGCAGTCCACAGGTTTGAATAGTCGACTTTTTACCCCATTTTATTAAATTTGGTGTACAGTAATTGGAACTTTCAAATACTTTAAACTGTACTGAGTTATACTCTATTTTCTTTTGAGCACACAGTTATCTCTATCTACAATTAAGTTTTAGGAACCAAGGTGAACATCAATGAGTCTGAACAAACATATTGTGAATAGTTTCTAATAAAAAATTGGGTAGTTGCTTTTAGATGAACTAAAAAGATTTTATCAGATAAGTGGGAGACTTACTCCTACAGTACTAAAAGTTAAATCAGAAGTATTTGTTAGGGCTTGTGGAGCTTTTGTTAAGCGGTAGCTCAGTAGTTAGAGCAATCGACTTATAATCATAATTCCCAGGTCTGAACTCTGAGCCACCTGCTTCGGTATGTGCGGCCAGGTAATATCATTAGTACTAACACTTAGTGTGGTCCATAGCCAAGCACCTGGTGAGTGAGTTGGTTCATAAAGAATGGCCTGGACATTACCATTTAGTAACAAGATTGACCATTTGCAGAAATACCAACAAAGAAAAAATGCAAACGCTTACAGATAAAATTCATACCCATCGCGCAAACTAGTGTTCATCTTAACTAAGTAGCTAGGCGGATAGCCAGTTGGTATTTGAAATGAAAGGTACTGGGCTACAATCTCAGTACGAAAATCAACACTGAAGTACAAGTGAGTTCAACTGACGAGTCCTGGATGAAACAAAACACCCCCCCTGGATTCCACTGCTAGCCACTACCCAAATCTACTGTAAATTGCGAATACTGCTATTGGACAATGTATGGATTATCTAAATATCCTCATAGTATGGTTAGACTTTGTACAGAATTTTTTATAGGATTTAACGAAAGAGAAATTCAACCAAAAGTCACAAGTTCTATGCATAAAGTCTAATCTTTTAGTAAGTGATCAGCGAATAATCTGTCGCTCCTGGATGGCTTTTGAGAGATAAATTGCAGTAATACACAAAATAAACAACTCTCTGACTAAGGCTGTGAAATTGATGCTTATTGTATAAAGACATATGCCGAAAAAACTGGAGTAATTTGTTAGGATTGCTTACCCAATAATGGTTGAGTGTTGAGCACATACATAAAAATGATGACGAAACAAACTGGCCATAAAATAAATTGTGTTTAGGGATTGGATAATATTTGTACTGTTTGCAATAACTGGTACAATCTAATAATCGAAATTGGACGTCGAGAGTATAGGATACGCATTAACAGTGACAACTAATGATCTACACACCCTAATAGGAGGTTAGTGCAATAAACAACCTGTACATAAAGTATGGATGTGAGTTCATGTTTATTTATTTAAGTATAAAGGCACGACTGTTTACTGTCAAATATTTATCTAGCATCATGATAAATACGAGCTCTCAAATTCGTTGAGAGATGTTAAAAGCATCAAGTAATAAGAAGTTATGATATGGTATAGATTTGAAGTGCTATACATTAGGATTGTACCGAAGCGAACTGAAAGTGTGTTTAGTCCCGAACAGGATGGGATATCCGTCCTATAGTATGGTGAAGTAATTTCAACTTTGAAAGCAACTGTGCAACATAACACTGAGAGACGGAATCAAAGCCTTTCTGAATTTCCACTCGCGGTATCCTGAAAATTGCAACTAATTATCGTCCTAATCAGGGGAACTTCATTTACAGAAATTAGGTCAATAAGAGATTCAGAAAAGCTACAGTCTAACCGACAAAAACAGTAGCCGAAGTCTTTAAGATATAACAAATTTCGATACAGTAGGAATGATTATCGGTACTACACATAAGGATAGAGAGTTTTACTACTTTGACCAGCGCTTCGATAACCAAACAAATAGGTTAGATACTTTAGTTTCAAAAAGGGATTGGTCTGGAACCGCTATTGAGTCCGACTTTTTACCCCATTTTATTAAATTTGGTGTACAGTAATTGGAACTTTCAAATACTTTAAACTGTACTGAGTTATACTCTATTTTCTTTTGAGCACACAGTTATCTCTATCTACAATTAAGTTTTAGGAACCAAGGTGAACATCAATGAGTCTGAACAAACATATTGTGAATAGTTTCTAATAAAAAATTGGGTAGTTGCTTTTAGATGAACTAAAAAGATTTTATCAGATAAATGGGAGACTTACTCCTACAGTACCAGAGAACTGGTCACTTAAGTCACCCTCTGAAGCCTAAAATTAAATAAGAATGGTAAAAACAGGTTTATCACTCCACACCCTACCTACATTCCCCAGGATCGCAACTGTAATTACTCCCAGAAGGAAAACTTTTCACACCCTTTAGTACCGACCCATGACATAACAACGGCTCCCATGTATACCAACAGTCGCAACTCCTCCCAGTTTCGCGCAGCAGACCCCTCTCACGCTAACGTAAATAGCCATAACAGAGGCTACGAGTCTAACCATCAAGACTATTTTGCAAATAACCGTACACTTCACAGTAGGCCTGTACAAGATTTTTTTGGAATAAGACCCCTAGTGACACCTCTGTTGAAGCACATAGTCCAGGTTATTTCAAACCACACGCAAACCATAAATTTATTTCCTCCGTACAGTTTCCATCAGAGAGTACTCCCACCCTTTCCTCCTGGGTAAACTCTCCAATCAACTTCACTAGCTCATTTGGTACATCTCCTACTAAGTCTAGCTATCGAAATACCAAGCTAATGAAGAACATTCAATCCCTCACTTCAAACTCATTTCACAGCCGCGAGGGTTACGACGACTTCATCCGAGATACCCTCACCCATTTTAACTAAGTAGGCCACTTGCTTCATATGTGTCTTATCAACGCTCGATCGATCTGTAACAAAAAGACGGATTTAGCCCTGTTTGTATCCATATATCAACCATCACTTATTATGATATCTGAAACATGGACAAACAGTAACATTTCCGACCGAAGTATATCTCTTGATAGCTATTTCCTGTATAGAAGCGATAGATTGAATGGACGAGGCGGAGGATGCCTTATTTACGCTCACTTTGGCCTAAACTCACTACTATGTGATATGCCTAAACTAAACAATCTGAAGGATTCGGTGTGGATTGTATTAAAGCTGTCGAATTCCGTTACCTTACTGCTTGGTTGTGTTTATCGTCAACCTAACGCATCAATAGATGAAATAGCAGTATTATCGGAGGTATTCACACTAGCACCATCCCTCTCATTCACAGGCAAGCTCATTTGTGGTGACTTCAATATGCCCGAGATTTCTTGGCTGCCAGTCAAAGCGCCGAGACATTATGAATCATTTATTGAATGTCTAGAGCTTGGACAATGGACTCAGTATGTCGATAGCCCTACCAGACATCAAAACATCTTAGACTTAGTCTTTACCAGTGGCCTCATCCCCAATACTTCGTATATTGGAAAAAAGTTCCCAGGTAGTGATCATAACATTGTCATATGCAGCCTTAATGTAAAAACCACAACCGGTAGAAGTAAAACCGTAACACTTTGTAGAAACTATCGCAAGGTTGATTGGAATAACTTCCACAATTACCTAAGAAGATCTGATTGGAGAACTTTCTTTACCTCAAACAATACCGACACATTTACCAATATCTTTTATCACAACATCAAAAGTATCATCAACAACATCGCACCTTTAGAATACTGTAAACCTACGTTCTCCAAAGATCTCTATATACCGATCAGTGCAAGAAGACGTCTTCAAAGAGATTGTACTCGACTCCACAACTTAAATCACTTTTCCTCTTTAGTAACGATGACAGAAATACTTGTCCGAACAGAGGCAATTAGTACACAAAAATCAGTCGCACAGGAAAAACGTGCAGTTGAACTTAATAATAACCCCTCTGCACTCACCATACTCCTTCAAAGTAAACTTAAACGTTTTAAATCGAGAAGGAGTACATTCATTGAGGGAAAACAAGTATACGAAGATCCCAAACTTGTCACAGAATTATTTAGTGAACATTTTTGTTTCTCACTAACTAACGAAAAACCATTTAATGATTCAGAACCAACCCCAGTAACTCCTTGCGAAATTACTAATGTAGAATTCAATGTGCAAAATATCTCTAAGGCAACCAGTACATCGAAGCTCCTACACTGATGAACCAGATGGTATTCCATCTAGCATGCTAAAACGTGGAGGTGATGATACGTGTGTTTTGTTTCTCAAACTATTCACGATATCACTCTCTTCAGCGTGTTACACTGCTGTCTGGAAAACTACACATATCATTCCCAAAATTAAAACAGGACCTGAAGCAAACATTGAAAATTACCGGCCCATAAACATAGCTTCAGCGGTATCCAGAGTGATGGAAAAAGTAGTTAAGGCGGCTGTAGTCCAACATCTACTAACTAATAATCACATCTCGACCTCCCAGCACGGATTTCTCAGGTCCAGATCATGCGATACATACCAAGTAGACTACCTGAATGATATAACTCTGAAACGAGGCAGCGGACTCCTTGTATCAGTTCTATTCTTAGACTTGAAGAAAGCCATTGATAAGGTCTTACACAAAAGGCTCATTGTCAAACTTAAGTCCTTCGGAATAAACAACCCACTATACTCATGATTTGCTTTGTTCTTAACAGGACGTAAACAGATGGTAAAGTACAACGACTGTCTCTCGTCACCTAGACCAATCACCAGTGGAGTCATCCAGGGAAGTGTATTAGGTCCACTTTTGTTTCTTGCTACTCAAGACCCTATTATTTATTTATTTATTTGAACACATAAATATTGGTATAAGAGAGCGCCAATATATATGCGCCACACAAAACAATG